TAAGGGCCATTTTTGGCAAGTGCAACTCAAACCAGAAGCTCAGGGGAAAAAAATAAATGCCCATTTGTGAAGCTGCAGTCGGTTGAGTTTTCCGTCACCACGAATTACTGTGCTCATCAACCCTTTGTTTGCCCTCTGCTCTCCAAGACACAGCTAGCATGGCTCAACTCAGCCTGGCTGTGTCAGAGCCCCAGCCCCAGGTACCTTCTGATCTGGCCGTCATCCTGCCTCACTGCAAGGAACCTCTGCATTTCCATGCTACTTAATATACTGTAACACACCCACAGTCAACAACTAAAATGAATAAATAATTCAAGTTTTGTAAGAAACAAAACGTTAAAATTGTTAAAACCCCCCATTATTTGCACTTGGGTTACTCGAGGGGCTTGTTTCCAACACCAGAAGTACTTAATTACCAGAGAAACAAACAGGTCTCACCTTCCCTTAGCAGCTACATCCCAGCACCACCCCACCCAGGTCTGGAGGCGTGCGTGCTTCTGTCCCAGCAGCCTTTGAGTGCACCTCTTGAAATTCAAACATGGAAGCTGTACCAGGATTTCATGTTATTTTTAATCCATTAGGAGCTACTCTGTTCCAAGACTTGTTCAGGGACAAATCAAGCCCTTTCTCCACCTACCTATGCAACCTGAGCTGCTTCTGCGCTCAAACAGGACATCCGCGATCCCAACCTGGTAGACTTTTGCTGGTGCATCAGAGGACACCCTGCGAGCACCACCACTGGCAAACCTTCCCTGGAGTGGTGTCTCTAGGACCCCATGCCACCCCTCTGTGCCCCCAACCCCTGCCCAATGCCTGTCTCTGTCTCCTGACAAGACCATGAGGAGCTACAGGAGGGCACCAGGAAGAGGCAAGGCCCCTCAGATACATGATGTTTTTGTAACCATCTATCCCACTTTAGTGGTCTGCTGGTCTGCCACCACAAAGCACCTTAGTACCACTTAACCCAACATCTTTTAATAGCTTCAAAGATCCGTACTTGTTCTTGCCGTTCTCAGACTGTTCAGCTACACACTGGTTTAGAGGTTTCCTATCCACCCCGCATCTGGTTCAAGCTGGCCTGAACACACCTGACACAGAAACAGGCTGTTGGCTGAACCAACCTTGACCTAGTGATCATACACAATTTGTTTCCCATCTACAAGCATACCCAACCAAGCCAGGTTTGAAATCTCTTCATACCTCTGTCAAGCTGACCCTCAGACATCAAGATTTGGGTAACTATTTACTAGTTTCTTACTCATTCCTCTGCTTCCCTATGATTAAAGGTGGCAAGCTGCTGAGATGGCAGGAATTTGGAGGAGCTGGAGCTTGATGCCATCTCCAGACCACTTTGTTGCTAGGTTAGGTCACCCCAAAGACACCAACTTTAACAGTACTGAAACACATAAACTGAAATACTCATGCATCACCTCAGACTGCCATCTGTCAGGTATTGTTTCTTCCCCTTTAAAAGCCTTGATGGATAAAGACATAGGCAGATCTTCAAAACTACTTAAGTTAGTGGGAACTAGGTACACAAATGCTCTTACACACATGGGTCTTGGCACGTCAGAAGCAAGTCATCAGTGTCTCTGGCCCACATGCCTTCCTTCCCAGCTCCATCTGTCTCAGGCTGCTAAAAACATCCAGAACTCTGGCTGAAAGATATTTCCAAAGAGGGGCAGGCCGGAGGGGGGTGGGGTGGGGGTATCTACCTAAAAATTGAGGTTGATGAAAGCAGAACTAAGTGCAAGGAGACTGACTCATACTTATTTACATTTCTGATGGAAAGCTCTGCAAGTCACACACAGTTTGACTTCTCAAACCTCGTATAAACCATCTTCTGTACCAGAGTAATCCTCCTTTTAGAAAAAGGTATTCCGTACTGTGCTGCAAGCCAGAGCAAGACATTTGTCTCCTCCCACCCCTTTCAGGGCTTGCTCTGCTGTCCTTCACGTGGCAGCAAGAAGAGCTGGCTGCTCTGTCACTGTATTCTCTGAAGCAGTCAATGCAATGGCCTCTCAGAACTGGTAGACATTGTTCCAAAGACTTGATTTGCTTCATTTTGGCATTTCCACAGTCATCCTTTACATAGAATTCTTTTTTTTTTTTTTTTAATTTAAAATTATTATTTTGCATTTTGCTGGTCACTTCCATATTGCTTCATTCAAAATCCAGAAAACAGTTCAAATAAAATCAGAGCTTAAGTGCAAACTAACTTTCCAGTGAACCGCTATGTGCGTTTTCTCCAGTCCAGTGTCTGTTTTCCAGTTTAAAGGACCCTTCCCACCACCACCCCGCAGAACACCAGCAGAACTTCATGACCCATATCAAACTCTCCAGTTCTCCGTCTTGTCCTCAGTGTTGCCTGACAGCATCTCCAACTCCCTTCATGATCATGAAGAAGAAGAAAAAGAGGGAAGAATTGGTTTGGGTCTTTTCATGTATCTATAGTCAGCAGGTATAAAACAGGAAAGCAAAGCTTTTTGCATACAAATCTTGGTTTCTTGGCCTGTCTTTTAGCTTCAAAAAGAACATGTTGGAGGTGTGGTTTTGTTACTCTCTTCTGAAAACATTTTTTGTGTGTGTTAAAAGTGTTTGTCACGTTGGTATATATACAAAAATGGTTGTGTTATGTATTAGTTCTGAACTGGAGTCTCTGTGGTTCGGAATTGGCAAAAAATCATGGTGTGGCTCAGGAATAGGGTTTAACCATATATTAGAGTCACATCATCATTTCTTGGAAAGCCACGATGAAGATCTGAATGATTATGAAAAGCCACGTTAGTCATTTTCAGTTGCTGGGATAGAAAGTGTTAGAGAAAGAAACTGGATTCTCAATCTCAATTACTATGCTATCACACATGATATAAAAATTGTCCATTTTTTCCCCCTAATGGAAACTGCATTGAGATTTCCAGGAATGCTGTACAGACACTCATCAGTTCCTGCCGAAAGAAACAGCCTCTCTGTGGCTTCCCTACCGTGTCTGGGTTGAATCACTGAGAACTAGCTCGACAGCAGGCAACACTGTCACTGGCCTTTACTGGTACTGTCTGGCTTCTCTGACCATCCAACCCTCTGGATCTGCGGAAAGTGAGAAACGCCAGGTTGTACACACCTTCTTTCAGTCTCCTTCCTTCCCTCCTTCCTTCCTTCCAGGTTCCCAACCCAATCCGCAAACACCTCCAAGACATTCTTTCACTTGGAAATATAAAAAATGAGTGAACTAGCAAGAAGAGGAAGCTCATGGGAGAAAGAAAGGGAGGGAAGAGAGAGAAAAGGAGAGCGAAGGAGTGAGGCAGCTAGAAGGGGTTGCCTTTCCACTTCCGTAAGACCATGGTCGTTACACCACTGTATTTCGGTGTCTGTAGGGCGGTGGGGGCAGCACAGGCTTCAGGGAGAACTCGGAGAGGTATTCAGGATTTTCTGCCACAATGGGCCGGATACGTCCATTCTGTTTGTAAAAGTATTTTGTGCTGTACTCTTGCAGGTAGTCTGGGTGCTGGAGGGTGCTTTGTGGGGGCATGCTGTGATTCCAGTAGTCTGGGTTGTCAAAGGCCTTCTTGGCTTTCTCCGGCAAATTGTTCTTCAGGTACTCGGCATTTTCCAAGGTGTTTGCGAAAGTGTTGAGGTACAATGGCTCGTTCACATACTCATCCTCTGCTTTGGGCTGCCCGTTCGGAGCACTGTGATACTCTGGGTTGTCCACAGCTTGGAGATCTCCATTCTTTCGTCGGGAAACAAATGGGTTCTCTTCCACTGGGTTTAGGTAATCTAAGGAAAGATTAAAATTAAATTAGCAAAGAGAGGGAGTAATCCATCCATGCAGCAAGCATCATGTGTACGTGACTACCAGGCTGTACCAGAAGCAGAACTCAGACTTGTGCTGAGTTGTCCTTCCAGCCCCCTATCCACTCATTCCAGCAAAGCTGGAAACTAAACTACAGCTCTCGCTGAGCCGTAGCCCACATGCCTTGTTTGATCCTGAACTTCCTCTCAGAGTATGACCTACAGAGCCAGACATGCCAAGTGACTTCTGCCTCTGCTGCTGACTCTCAGCAACCTTGGACGTATCAGTCAAACCCTCTGCTCTGCAGTCTTCCCAGACAGAAAGCTCTATAGAAATCCTCGTTAAGCCTCTCTGCACAAAAACCATCCCCAAGGGCTAACTTCTAAGACAGCTTCATTTCTAACAGAACAATTTGCCTGATTAAAAACCTTCCATCCCTGAAGGACAAAGGGCCTCGAAGCATTATGAAAAAAATGATTCAAATGAGCCCTGGAAAGAGTACAAGAGAGTCTGACATCACCTTCAAAACAGGACTTGGAGCAGGTTACAGTTGCTTCAAATCACTTTCTGTGGATTAACACCAAAAAACTCGTATCCAAATTGCAGATGGGATTTAAGGCATAGGGAGCTTGCATGGAAAGCCAGACAGGGGGTGGGGAGGGAAGAGAAACATAAAGAGACTGGCTGTCCTAGGTTAAAAAGCACACACTTAGTAAGCTCCCTCCCACAGCCACACACAGGTGACTGAGCCACAGAGCAGTGGATTCACTGGGTGCCATCTCCTGCCCTGCTCTGTGTAGTGAGGTCTTGCTGCAAAACACAAAGCTAGTCGGCCAGGGCAGGCAGGAGGATGCTGACACTAAAAGGGGGCTGCAAAGGCAATGACTTGGAGGTGGGCTGGGGACAAAAGGAACTGGGGGTGGGGTTCCTGTAGCAAGATAGTCAAAAGCACCCAGTTCATTCAAGGCTGGGAATGATCAGATTAAACCCACTTCCAGTATTAATTCTGCCTCTCAACTCACAGCCTAGAGGTTCTCTACAAACCAGGGTCTCCAAGCCACTGCCATTAGCGAGGGATGACCTCTCAGCTGGCCTGTGCTGCACAGGGGTGCTAACACAGGACATCCATCTCCAGCAGCATGGCTCTGGTCATGGGCTCTGGAGACCCTTCTGCACACAGTCCTGTCCGCAAGGAAACACGCCACACAGCCACAGAGTGTGGTCTGCACTTCAACTCTGGTTTTACCCAGGAAGGGCCCAAAACTATTAAATGCAAAAGTTCAGGATTTATTGAGTACCTCTGACCACACTGCTAGAATGTGCTGAATCTGAGAGGTGGCACAGGCACGTGTACCCACACCAGGAGCACAGTGAAAGCATTTTTTTTTTAAGCAATGATAACTAAGCAGTGCTTTGTTTGAGTCCCCCAGCTGACACAGAGCACGGAGCACGGAGCATCGTGGCCACACTGTGACATCCCTGCATCTATGCCTAGTGAGACAGGAAGGAGGTGCTTTCTCTTGAGCTGCTACTGCCACACCCCCAAGGGCCCAGGTAGCACCTGTGAAGTGTTAAGCTCCCACAGAACTCTGAGGCTCCCCAGGGTGAACCTGTACGTGAAGATATGTGTGGGCTCATACTGAAGCAAGCTCACAGCATCAAACCTCTTCTTGCAAGGGCTGCTGCTGAAAAGTAGGGCCATGAGTGCCCTCCCACAATTATTACTGCTGTGGGTCAAGCACCAAGACTCCCTCCATTTCTACCACATAACACAAAGGGTAAGTGGCTTCCAAATTCCGAAGCAAACCCAGTAGTTACTTGGCGTTTAAGTTGCATTAATTAATTTATCTAAAGCTAGCGTAAAGGTTTGAAAGCAAATTACTAATGACACATCCCTTTACATCTAAATGACTGCTGTCACTATTTAAAAAGAAAGAAACAAATGATGGCAAACTGGGAAGTGTAGCACTCTGAGCTGGCAAAGATGTAGGCAAACTTCACCCTGCAGTGATGGTCTCTCTGAAGCACATCTTGCTCTTTCAATCTTAAACTTCTCTCGGGTATAAAATGCCAACTGTGTGTATCGGTTCTGTGATATGTTCAACATGACATTTACCAAGCACAATGACACGAAGATAAAGAAGATCAATAAACAAAGCAAAGTGGAGACTATGGCTGGCCAAAGGTAGATCCTTTTCTTGGAAACAACTCAAGATTTGTGTTTGGATAAGGAGGTCTGGGTTTTTTTATTACGCTCTCTTGTTATTTCCCAGAAAGAAAAGTTAAAAGAGGGAGTTACCAAACCTGACATTTTGGCACATTTGAGCTTTTCTAAGTAGCAAACTAAGCAAAGAAAAATGAATCCACATGCAAAGAAATATCAACCAAGTCAGAATGTTTCAACCTTGCTGGGTTATTCAATAAAGCCATTTTTGGTGAAAAGCTACTGATGTAGAAAAAGAGAGAATGTAGTCAGATTAGAGCAGGAGCTTCTCCGGAAAGACAATTTTTTTACCTGTCTTAGGTTTGTCTCGCATCGGTGTCATGTACCCATCCTCATCCAGCTCTCCTCGGACGACGCGTTCGGGTATGAAGACTGTGGGATCAGCGCTGTACCTCTGGGTGCTGCCGTCCTCTTTTGCCAGGGTTGCCACTTGTTTTCGCAGTGTGCCATTACAGCAAGTGTCTTCAAAGATCTCTGCTGTGGCTCCTTGAGCAACTGGGGCTTCTGGTATTATGCAGCCAGGAGCTCTGTATGGCATTGGCATCTCTGCAGTGTAGCCACCATCTCTATAGACAAACTGGTTCTGTTGAAAAACAGAAGGCAGTGTGAGAAAGGAGGCTCCAAAGGGAGAGAAGATTCAACAGCAAGTCATCTCTGCGGCTCCTGTGCCTTTCCTGCCACACTTGCTCAATGATGCATTTTACTAGGCAGGTGAAGCCTTGTCCATCCTGCAGACTACTGCATTTCCAGCGCTGCAGGATCGGCAGGAGCACAGGCTCCGTTGTGGACCAGCAAAGCATCCGTCTGCCTGGTGGTGCTGAGCTGGTTTCCCCTCCCAGGGAGGGACCATCACTGCAGCCAGGGGAGCAGGGAAGCAAGCCGGCTGCTCAGGACTGGAATGGGGCAGGAAAGCTTGTCTGCTACCTAGACATGTGGACAGTGGATATACACAGCTGCAAGAGGCAAACGCGCTATCTCCTCGTTTATTACTTTGGCAATCTCCCCTGATTTCTGAACAAAACCCTTAAACCTCGTGTTAGGGAAATCTCCTTCTGCAAAGAGAACTGGGGACACGGGACATTATCTGAACTCTGTTTATTGCTGGGGGCCTACTTTAGGGTTTCTTGCTGTGACAATCACACGGTCATCCAAACACTCTGTAATTCCATCAGGTAGTGCATTGCAGGCTGGTGAACCCTGTTTGTACTGGTACCTCAACTCAATGGTTCAACTCAACCAACCATTTTGCTTGTCAGCAAGGGCGTGCAAAGACATTTCAACAACATGACCTATAAATAGGAAGGAAAAATGTACAGATTCATACAAGCCTGTTACCTAAATGCTTTTTCAATAGAAGTTGTCAGTTGGCAGAATTTTGGGTGTGGGTCCACAGAACTTGCACATGAATCCAGGCTGAGTGTAGACACCCTATTTGCTTACATACACACTTCATTCACTGCTGGCTTTTAGGGCATTTATGTAGGAAAATGGGGTTTGAAACAGAAAACACGTAGTGAAGGAAGGAGGAAAACCTGAAGGATGAAGGTTGAATGTGAAATACTTACTCCTGACATAGGGGTGTAGGCAGGAGGAGGGCTGTGTCCAATTTCACTCTAATAGGAAAGAAAAATGGAATGATGGATACGTAATAAGAGGTCATATGAATGAAACAAGTCACATGAGCTGTATGAGCTAATGGGGAGAAACATGCACATCAGTTAGATTTCCTAACTGAATACAAAATTCAAAGTATTCAATCATGGCAAATGTCTCACCAACGTCAACCAGCTGTGTGCCTCACCAGACTTAGAGAGGGACTACTGAGTTCCTCTTGCTGGGTAAGGGCAAGTGCCATGTTACATCTGCTGACAGCTCTATATCCTGCAAATGTCTCGCCTCTAATTTTTGGAAAGGCAGATTGTACAGGAAGAATGGCAGATGGTGCACTCAACTTTAGAGGAAATACAGGGCAGAAGAAGTGCAGAAAGGATCTAGTTCCAAGCCAAGGTTTCATTTCCTCAGGGCAAAGCAGGAGAGGGATAACCGGGAGGGCAGGAGGGTGCAGGACTGTCATTAGACTATCACAGCTACCTTAAGTATCACAGCAAAAACAGTGCCTAGGCCTTAGGAAACCCAAATAGCACAGCAACTGCTTGTAAATTTCTTGCCAAAACATCAAAATGGAGATGATGGTCACTCTAAAATATCTTACTTTGTAAAGGAATCTTTTGTGTTTAAGTAAAATATCTGCATCAGGAAAAAAATCTTAAAAACAAATATAATTTTTTTTAATTGCATGCTGCCTGTCTGAAGACCCTTTTCTAGTGATCAAAAATATGCCCACTTCCTTCTGTTTGAAATATCCCTGCAGCCATTTTGTTACTCAGATCTAGGACCCCGTGTTTGAGGTGTAAACACTGCGATGAGCCATAGTTAGAGATACACTTTTCTCCACCCCCATATTAGTCAGGTTATGACCTAAAAAAGCCTCTAGGTTGCAAATTACAAAAATGCAGGAAAACTTTTGTGAGCTGAGTTGTCTATCTGCACCATCCATTAGCAAGGCTTGAGCAGCTGTTTTTCCCCAGGGAAACCAGGTGCTGAAGGGAAACACAGGAGAGGACCTATCCCATGGTCTCAGTGACTTCCCTGCCAGTGAGGGGAGGAGGAGGAAACTTCTGAGCAGACTGCAGAGGAGTTGAGGGGCTTGCAAGGAAATTGGTGCTGGAGGAGCTGGCAGCAGGGATGGTGGGTGGCTTGCAAAAGAACAGAGGACAGTGGCAAGTGAGAGAGACTGTGAGGCACGGGGAGGGAGAAAGGGTTGGCATGTGACAGGAGGCTGATTAGGAAGGCAGAGGTGGTAGTAAGACCTGAACATGACCGGGAGAAACTGGAGGCACAAGGACAAAAGGTAGTCTGAAAGCACTGAAACAACAGCTTCTCTAGAGGCTGGAGCTGAACTTGCACCTCCTCTGCTATCAGCAAATCACTCTCGAATCAAATGGCCAAGTGCAGGCCTGGTGCAGAGGGAGCTCAGCAGCTGCCATCCCCCCTTAGCACACGGGGCAGAGCTCTGCCTGGTGCATCCAGCGGGAGCTTGGACGTCTCCCTGCACAGGTAACAGGGGCTGAGACACCACGGACCTCTAGGTCAACCATGATGGATTTCACTAACTGTTCACCAAAGAGCTCGTTACGTTTGAAAAACAGAGCTTAAACTTAAGCCCCAGGCCTGGGAGCAGCCTGGGCCTCTCTGACCCAGCTATGGCTGCTGACAAAGAGAAGCGAAGAGGATGCCAGTGGCAAGGAAAATGCCGTCTAAGGCAGGACAAAAAGAGATGGCAGAGGGCTTGGCTGGATCAGCTGGGAAACTTCAGTGCTGCCCCATCTGTGCGTGGTCTCTTATTCAAGACAAGTGTACTCATATCCAGAAGAACAGCCAAGAAAGGTTCACAAGCAGGGAAGGAAAAATCAGTCAGCAGTTGCCTGGCTGAGATGATCACACTTGAGAGAGAAGATTGTAACAGAAGAGGGAACAGAGGACACTTTACCAGAGATCAATTTTTTTTAAAAATGGAGTAGACATCCAAGTCCTCAATACACATCTGCATACAGACTATGCTGCAAGCTTGGAACTTGGCAGTCTTCTGCAAGAGGCTTGTTTGGGACAGCTAGGAAGTTCCCCTAAAACAAGGAACACCATGGAAACCGAAGATGCTCTGACTGCGGCGGTTAGATCCTCTCTGAACCCCCTCATCTTTCTTTTGTTCCACAGATTTACTGTCACCTTGTAATGACGTACGGACAGGTTACAACCCAGGATGTGCTAGACAAGTAGATGTTTCTTAAAACACTCCCTGCGCCTGCCAGATGCTACTTTAAAGTCCTCTTGATGGTTATAGGATGGTGCACCGCAGGAGAGTCAATCTGCCTTCTCCTTGCCCTCTGGTCTCGTGTTTACTTGAATTCAGGGAAGCATTGTGTATGCTCCAAAAAGATGGAGAAGGAAAGACTGAAGACAGGTAAGTAGCAAAATATGGTTCATGGAGGATGGTGAAGATTTACACAAACTTATGATTATAGGTAGGATCCAGAGAAGAAATACCAAGTGGTGATCACAGAGAGTCAACTCTTAACAGTGAGGAATCCAAAGCTCTGCTGAGAACCCTCCACCTCCTTGTAAAGCTTCCCAGCTTCCTTCCCTCCTGCCTGCAGGCTGCGATACTCCAAAGAGGGGGTTTGCTTCTTTTGGCTTCTGAGGTGGCTACAGCTGCGTATGAGAGTGAGAAGAGCTGCAGCAATACTGTGTTCGCAGTACATGCAGGGGACTGGAGCTTGCTGCTGTCCACTTTTCACAGACACTAAACCCATGACTGTAACCACTCCTCTTCTCTTTGGTACTACACCGGCCTCTATTGCACACCTTTAATTTACACCTTGCTGTTTTCACAGAGGCACTCCCATGAATTTCAACTTGTGGTTCGTTGATTCTGGATGAAAAAGGCGAGAGCTGTCTTGAACTACTTGTAGTTCACAGCCCACAGTGATCTCTTAAGGGCAACTTAGAAAAGCAAGTGTTTTGTCAAGGAGCTTGGCTTCAGTACACAGGGCTATGCTCCTCTGCCAGTAAATGTTTAGATGATTAGCAACTTAAAGACATATTTTTCTAGGACAGCCACATTATCTATCTGTGGGCATGCTTTGCTCCACCCTCATCATAAAAGGCTAAACCCACTGTCCTATCTTTAGATCTTCTTAGCCGTGACTCTAACATTTAAATATATTCTATGCAACTGTAACAACATAATGACAGGCCCTCCTAGAATAGCCCTGTCCCAGGACGTCATGAGAGAACGGACTAGCATTAATGCATTTATTGCTATTTTTGCTGACAAGACCCTTCCCAGTCAGTGACCTGCCAACTAAGAGCACAGTTATGGTATTTTCTTTGTGCCTCCCCTTTAGCTCTGTACTAAACATAGCTGCCTTGCAATGCCCTTAACACAGAGCCTTACAGCCTGGCTCTGCTCCAAACCACTGGTGTCTGTACACTTTTTTAACTCTTCATTGTTTTTCCCCATGAGTTACTACCCTGTGGCCACTGTTCCAAAAAAAGGAGGCAAAGAAAACAGTTGTGGTGCCAATTAGTGGGGCTGAAAATGTGATATAATTGTTTAAGTGTGTTTAAATTGCTTGCTAATTGCAATATGATGTCATCTTTTTGTAGGTTTCCAAGATAAGCACTGAAAGCCCAGACAACTCTTACTGGTCAGGACATGAATCACACTGTGAGCAGAAAATACATTTGGACCTTACCAAGTAAAACTTAAATAGCTTGATTCCTATGTGTAACCCAATTTACTTTGTTGGGGTTTTTGTTGTTGTTGCATCTTAAATACTATCTTGGAAAAAAGACCTGATGTTCCTTTACTGAGAGGACCTAGGTTTTTGGCTTTCTGATCCTCAAATTCTGACCTGAATGATCAAGGCCTCTAGTTTGTTGAGATGAACAGAGACTTCAGAGACTGGTTGCTCAAACACCTCACTACATAAACCTACTTAAAAAGTCTCAAATTGCATACTTAATTTTTTTTTTTAACTAATCAATAATCACCCCCTTTCGATAGTGTAATATGCATGACATACATTAGCTCTGGAGTGCACACATCCATTGACATTTAAACTCCAGAAAGAGCCTAGCCTTTTTAACTGCCCATGAGCAGACCTAACCAGAAAGGCCTGAGATTTCATTTTTTAAACTGTATGATTGAATTTTAGGCTCAAACATGGCAAGAGGGAGAAAAGATAAAAAACAAGCAAATGTCCCCTAAAGCCTTTTTAGAGGCCCTTTGAAATGAAATACCAGTGACATATCAGCTATTATAATCACTAAGGTTTGTGTAAAATGAGTCTTGATAAAATAGAGGTAAATAACACTTTAGTGAATATTGGCTTGTGTTATTGCCTTCTATTCATTCATTTCATTTTCCAATTCTTTGCTTCTAAAATATCCCAAAGGTAATGATCTCCTCCTTATAGCAGGGACATACTGTTTTCTGGCTGCATGTTAAACTGTAATGAAATCAAAGCCCTGTTGGGTCCTGCTGCTCATATTTACATAGTTGTGTGACTATGCCTCTGCCCTGTCTCTTTCTATTTGAGTAGAGTAGAAAGAGATCATGCCTGGAGTACAGCACCCAGAGCTGTGTTCCTCCCCTGCCTGTGCTACAGCTCATCACACCAGCCCTGCGGTGACCACAGCTGCCTTCAAAGCTGCACCCACAGCAGACTTCAGGTGGAAGAAATGCTGAGGGTACTCAGTGATGTGATGCTGCTGTGGGACTATGGGTGGTACAGGACTATCATCAAATAGAAAATAAATAAAACTTCATTTTACAGCATGATCCGGTACCCCCATGCTTTGCTTGCTACCACAGCCTCCCAACAGCACCCTCACTGCTGCAGAGCTGGTTTTCCTTGTCACACACTAAGACGTTCACACATATTTGATAGGGATGCATAATTATTATTGTTTCTTTTTTTTCTTAAGCAGCCTGCTAAGCTTGTATGATTGAAAGATTTTTCTTTACTCATGGCAAGGCTCTGACAACAAC